CCGTGCCCGGCTCTCGCCCTCAGCTGCCCCGCACCGTGCCCGGCTCTCGCCCTCAGCTGCCCCGCACCGTGCCCGGCTCTCGCCCTCAGCTGCCCGCGGAGCCCAGGGACGCCGCTCCTGCACCGGCCCGGCTGCTGCTGCGGCACTGCCGCTGCAAACCGCTCCTACAGTGCCTGCTCTGGATTTCAACAGCAACATTCCTCCGGGTGTTGCCAAGCCCYGTGTCAGTGCAGGGCCGAACTACTSTAAAGCTGCCTTTTCAGTCAGTCATAAGCAAGCGGCTTAGTCTRCTGAAAGATGAATTAGGGAACTTTCAGGTTGCGACTTGGTTCCTCCCTCTTTAAGAGCCTAACTGGCAGAATATCTAAMAGCAGAGAAGCCAGCTTATCCAGAACACCCAATAATTGGGAGAAATTCACGTTAGGGAACGTCTTCAGAAGAGCCTGGCAGGGAGCCTGGGAGGGTTTGTGTGTTATTACAATGTGTCAGAGCACCACCAAATAAAGGGTAGTGAAAAAAAGTTTTGCACAAGGAACCCTACAATTAAAGTGCCAAACAAACATAATGCAACCAAGTCCTCAAGCAACTTACAAGCTCTGTGCCAAAACCCACTTCGTAGGTATAAAAACACTTGCACSATTTGCTAGGGGTGTTGCTTAGCAGCTCATTCAAGAGCCAGAGCAAACATCCCTGAGAACACAGCGAATTAAGTGGTTTTGCTTGAGCCTCAAGTGGAATAGATAGCCAGGACACCCAGAGCCAGATGCAAGTAAACTATGGTTCACGTTCCCAGCTGTGGGTGACGGTACTACTACATGCCGTAAAGTTTGCCCTCAAGCCACATTGCTTCTGCTGTAGGACATAAGTCATGTTTAAAACATTTGACAAGGATTGCTTTCCCAAAAATGCTAGTGTCACTAAGCCACCAACGAAAACAATCCTAGAGAAAGACATGCATATATAGAATCACAGAATATGCTGCRCTGGAAGGGACTCATTAGGATTGAATCCAACTCCTAGCTCTGTGTGGGACACCCCAGCAATCCCACCATGTGCCTGAGAGCATWGTCCAAAAAATCTTTCCATTAGCACAGCTGCCTAAGCAGGCAGTTACTTGCAGCTTCYGAAGGCACTGAGTACCACCTCCTTCGAGGAGAAAAGATTAATTTCCATTGTCCTGAATACTGGCAATAGACTACTGCCAGTCCTTGACAACATAAATCTCCAGAATTTTTTTCTTTCTCCTAAAGACTTGCAAAAGCTTCAGAGATTGCAATGAAATCCTTCCAGTGCMCTGCATTACAGAGGACATGCAGAACCTCTGCAAGAATCATAGCCAAATAATAATGTAAGAAAAATATACTAAGCCAGGTAATGGCCTGAACTGGAATGCCTGTGAAGACATTTATTGATCCCAAGTACCTATTAAGAAAAAAATCTAGTTCCAAATACATTTATTCTTAATTAAAAACACACAGTGCTCTACTGGTGACCCAAGTTCTCTTCCTTACAATGGACCAGAGAAACTCCTCTCAAGACAAARCCTCTGTCAAAGGATGCTCCCCCTCATCGCTAGGTTTTCTGATGTTGCAAGAAGTCTAAGTAAAAAATCAAACCTTGTACAGAACATGTTTTGCATATTAATTCGTTTTGAAAAAGATCAACAAAATAGATAGCCAGTGCCTTGAGGCAGTGCAGAGCCACCTGAGGATGGAAGCTCAGAGAAAAATTACACCAACTGACMCTACTAGACCCCCTGAAAAGATCTGCCCACCCAATGATACAAACTTGCTCAAACTGGCCAGGGAGAATTGCTCTRGCTGCACAAATCAGGTCCTGCACAGCAAAACTGAAGGCTGTTTGTTTGGTTAATCTCTCCAGGACTGAATTCAAGGCTGACTTGTATAGCRTTGTGCTGGCTGACACCAGGTTCAACCTGATTTAAGCAGCCTTCGAGCCATACCAGGAGACCGCTGAGGAAAAGATCTGTCTGCCAAGGTTGGCTATTTGTCTGTATAGCCAATGCTTTTTGTCCAAAGATGGAAGATAGTTGCTTATTTCAAGAAAGAGTGATGTGAGTGTGGTTTCATCAGCAGTTATGGGACTCAAGAAAAGCAGCTGATGAGGGGGGCAGGCTGTGACAGGCAGGAGAACATTTTAAGTTCAGTTTCCATGTCCTCCTTGAAGTCACCACAGAACCTGAAAAGAAGCCCTAACAGGCAGACACCACASTGAGTCAGAGAAAACAGCAGGGGATAGAGCAGCTCCCAGCCAAGTGTTGCATGCCAGCCACCCACTAGAAATGGGTTGCACTACCCTGTTTCACTTGGAAGGACTGGGAAATTCCCTGGTGGTAGATAACACCTGCTTTGTGGCTGCTTATGCCAGTGAAAGARTCAGTGAAAGAGCCAGAAAACCTGTCCAGGATCCAAGAATAAGCCTTGAGGGAGCAATCTGTGGCAACGCAACTTCAAATAGTCTGAGAGACCTCTCTGCACTGTATATATATATCACCCACAGCCCAAAAYAAAAAAGAGACAGGATAAGTCAGAGCCCAACATTTCAGAGAAGGGCAACATTCTGCCAAAAAATGGAAGGGAGCAAAATCATAATCCATAGAGTCRTAAGAGAAGAAAGCAATGGATCAGCAACCATACTCAAGAGACTCCGAGATACTCGCAGGTGCTGGGAAGTGACTGGCAGGTMCATTGCTGGGTGAGGAGGCTGWGATGTTGCCAATGCTAGCTGGCTCYAGTTAATCTCAGATACCAGAAAGACTTCTCACAGCCCTTATTACTAAGACTACACAGATTGACACCAGGAATACTCAGTTTTGCAGCTGAAGCTAAATGCATGACTGTAAAAAGTCCACAACAGACACAAGGCAGCCAGATAAAGGCCTGGGCCTGGCAGTGAAAATTTTYCTCAACAATATCCCAGCTCTGTGGAGAAGCAGGGTCTAACTGATGACAGCTGTCAATTAGCTGCAGGAATAGGAGCTGAGGTGCCTCAGTCCTCACCCTCTCAGTCCCCTCATCTGTCACTTCTTCATTGTCTCTCAACTCAAAGATGCTCTTTCCTCCTATGTCAAATCTTACCAACAGCCAGTGCTTCTCCAGTCAAAGGTCTGGCAGAGGGAAYTTAAAATTGTGTACAGTCATATGAAACAAGTGTTGTTTATTAAAAAATAAAACATCTTCAAAATACTTTCACAAGCATATATACACAGACATMGAGATACTATTGCTTTAGTATTTTTGATTTATAATCTTAGAAATGAACGGGTTTAAATTACAGAAATCACATATCAACAAAGCCATACTTCAGCAGTAACAGTTATATAATTACATTTGATGTAAATTTCAATACGATTGAAATAGTAAACCTGGCTTCAATAGAAACAAGATTATTTTTTAAATCTACATTCTAATTAGAGGAAATAATCTTAGAAGGTCAAAAATGAATGTGTTGTAAGTTGAACAAYATTGAAAAAAAATTGACAAAGGAAACAGCGTGTCATATTGTCCTTTGGGGTACCTCAAGGGTTGAATTTSCATTTCCCTAGTACACTACATAAGTAATTATTACTCATTGGTCTGACTCCAGACATAACCCAAATTAGTACCTTGATTATTTGAAACAAACAAGTGAATTTAATGTTGCAGAAAWGCCAGTTGATCATTTATTTTGTTGTTTTCATTTCTGTGGGATTTTTAAGAGTAACATTTTAGACTAGTTTAAGAAAAGAAACAAAGATCTCTATCATGTGKTTCTATTAAAAGGTCTCATTTTGCCTGTGCGTGATGTACTAGAGATACTCAGGAACTCCATTCTGAAACTGATGGCAAGAGCCCAAGCAGGCCTGCAAGTACAGCCAGTGCCAACTGCTTGCATCTATTTGTGCTGTGCCATGACAATCCTTGCTTGGATTGCCACATCCCCCAAAGAGCTCATCCCAGYGTATGTGCTAAGGTGATTACACAACATCAAATCTGAAAAGGAAAACATTGTTGTAATAATTTTCTAAAAATCTGAGATGAATCCCTGATAGAGATCCAGTGCAGAAAACCTCACAGACTGTCAGACTGAGGCTGGCATTGATGGGACGGGTGGGAAAGAATTCACTGCACCGGCTGCAAAAACTCCGATGTGAACACAGCTTCTGCATAGTCCTCACAAACATCCTGCAGCTCTGCTGCCACGTCACACAGGGCTTCTTCTGTCAGTTGCTCTGCAAGACTGAGGGAGAGGGAGGGCAAAAAAAGAGAAGATWAACGTTCAGAAAGTCAGATTTCAAATTCCAGTCATTCATGCCATTGATATCAGTGCTGACTTTAAAAGGCAGATTTCTYTTCCTTTCTATCTTTAGCCCAAAAAAAGATCTGATACGTGATCTGATATGGGTTGTATAAGAGAGCAGAAATTCTGTCCTCAGTCTGGTTCACAGCAAAGGACATATTTCAGGCTTAAAATCAGTGAGAGTGTTTCCTTTTTTTCAAACTCTTAAGATAGTCATTCTGCTTTGGGAATAAGAGTGAACATAGTACACTGCTCACCCAAAGGCTACTGAGCTAAATGGGATGCTTTTTACTGATTTTAGCTGTTACTGACTCAGACCTTACTGAGAGCAAAAAAAATTGAGGAAAATGTCAATTTTCAGTGATCTCTGGACCACAGCAGATGTTACAGAAGGAACACTGTGTGTAAGTACACAGTTGTTTACTGGCCTTCTGAGAACTTCTCTACACTTCTGCATGTGCTCCAAAACATACCTCAGTGTTCCTGAGCCCATCACCCTTGGGGGTCTGTGCTCCTCTCCAGTAGAAATTCGTCACAAAGCTGCTGGCGACTGGCTGCATTTGCAGTTTGATGTCAAACATATCTGCACGTGGCAGCCGTGGCGGCTCACTGCCAG